AGCATTGTACTGATCAATCCTCTGATAGTATCTCTGTAAATTGTACGATTATTAGAAAATGAATGTGCGTCAGCAAGAACCCCTGGATGAGTGATTTTTAATAAAGTATACTTTATATTCTCTGCTTCATCAAGTAAAGGAAAGGCCTGTATGAGTACCCTTGTGGCATACAGGCTGCAAGAGCATGGATGCTTTCCATTTGGCTGAATTGGTTCCTCGATTCCCTCCCTCATGTTTGTTCATTGATACAAACAGCAACACATGCTCTAATAAAATCTATAGCCTCATGTTTTGTAAACAAACACAAATAGGCAACAGTAAACCAGACTTTCCTTGCCGGTTTAGGCTGATATTTTAGGATGAATAATGACAACCGTAACTGTGTGAGAACTGTAGCTGTAAATGTTTCTTGAATGAGCCAAGATTCACTTGGAACAGAAAGGAGGAAAATAAAAATACTTTCATGATGAATACATTGCAGACACATTGATTCAGAGTCTTTTCACATCATCATTTATTTCCTGAATAAAGAAAATAACAATATCATCAGCAGAATGGAAAGCACACCATGAACAAAGCAGAGGACTTGTTGCATGTTATGTCTCTATTCCCTGTTTACCGTCATATATACATTTCATTTTTCATTTAGCTGACGCTTTTTATCCAAAGCGACTTACAAATACCAATTACAGGGACATTCTCCCTGGAGTAACTGAGGGCTAAGATCCATTAGACCACCACTACCCCACTACCTATATATCAACTGATAATGCTCTATCAAAGACTTACAAATCACAAAAAAACGTTACAAAGAGAATATCATTTTTTTAATTCGTCAACGTATAAATAAGCACCATTTAAATGCTATTGATTAAATATTGTGGGCTTTAAATTATAAAAATACGTGCTTTAAACACCTGTAGAGTTTGCGGTAGGCTACTCTTCACAATGTAAGCACTTTTTAAAGGTAATTATACCCCTTTATGGGCCAACATTGAGTAGAGCTCATCAGTTACTCCGCAGGCTCGATGCTTTATTACCCTGATGCTCCTATTATGGAAATGTGTGGCTTATATTACTATTAGTATTCATTATGTGTAAATTATGAGGGAATCAATATTGAGAAACTGCACTTCCCTCCTACACATCTACTGATTGAAACGGGAGCATGACGAAGTCCGATGAAAATTGATTTGCGGGGTCGAGGTTTAAAAGTTATAGTTTGTGATAAATGTGCTTCCAATAAATTCATACAAATATCATGACACTAAATGTTTCTGTTTGGATTTGCTGTGATGCTGAAATAAAAATAAAAGTAGAAACCAGCAGCTTTCAAAACTGTCGGTCATTACCGCTGTTGCTCTGTCCTTCCACTCAGTTAATTAGTGTTAATTAGAGTTAATTGCAGTTATTTGGGTTCACCTTGTGTTCACCTTGTGGGCATCACTCCCTGATCAGATAGAAGTGATGTACACAATGGTGTTAGTGCTTAAACCACACAAAAAATAAACAACAATATTACTGACTCCAATAATGCCCAACACCATTTCAAACACTTGTTTTACAATTAAAAAGCTAGAATGCGTAGAAGGAAAAACACTAATTTAAACTTCATGAGCAATACATTCTTAATAGCTATATTATTGCATTGAGAAGTAACAATTTGATGAAATATGGTGATGTGTAGAGGGAGCTTTCAATACAATAACTTTTATTAAAACTTATTTTAAAATAAAAAATGAAGATAATATACAAAGCTTTCTGAGACTGGGGGGGAAGTCCTGCAGCAATTACTATGCAGAGGGCTTCCGAATTATGTGAAACGAAATGTGAGAAGAACTTCACAGCTAATGACAAGTTTGACCTTTCGGGACGAGGAAGAGACCGGAGTCGTCGTTCTTCCTGGCAGCGCTTTTTAGAGGAAGGCAGTAGCAGATGGGAACACAGGCACACAAAAGAGCATGTCCTTAACTTAAAGGATCTACATTAAGATGGAAGGATGAAGCTTTTGGGATTTCTTTTTGGAGTGAGGTTGTTTGTGGGGAAAATTGGACTTGGCACTGCACAAGCTATCAAGAAGTAGAATTCAAAATATGATGATAATCTGAAGCATTCACTGGATAATGGCATTAGCCGGTTCACATCTTCTAAACTATTTCAGTTGTTGTTTTCCCACAGAGATTCTAACATCGTTTTAGATGTTTGCAGAAGCCATTACGGTTGCTTGCTATGACCGCATCAATTGTTGCAACACATACAGAATTCATAGCCGCGTTCTATTTAAGTTTTTGCAAAACTAATTTAAAGTTCAGTAGATCAATACCAGCAGCGGGCTCGGCTCACCATCTTATTCATAGATTATGAATTTAAAATAGTTTGCCACTCCCATGGAGACCATTAATGTGCTTCAATGGAATTTGGGAAAGTAATTTCAACAACTTATGTCAAAGCAGCCCCATGTGGACCTTAATGTATCCAGTCATTTTGTGTTCATGGTTGTAGTCTCAGAAGAGCACCTGGATCTCTGCAGTTATCAGAGACAACAGTAACGCGTCCTTCCTACATTTTTCACATGTCCACCCACTTTATTTGCCAGATTTCCCAGAAGTAATGGTAAAGAAACACTCTGAAGATCTCAAAAGGCAAATGAGTTGTGTACAAAGGCTTCGTCACAATTCTGCACTTGCAATATTAGCAGCTTTAAATAGGGAGAGGGGGCATTGAATAGTATTGGTGGAACAGCATTGTTTTTAACGCTGGTTGACACTGAGGTGCATTTCTGTGACCGTTGTCAACCGAGGGAACGTGATGCGGTGAAATTGACATATTGCAAATCTGGCACAAGTTCCTTTGTCCACTATATTGTGCTGGAGAACACACGCCTAACATACAGTATGTTGCGCTATATCATGTGTAGACCACCCATCGTAAATTGCCTTTGAATCTGATGATGTTTGTCACATCAGGCTGACTTCCTTTTGCCAGTAGGGGTCACTAAGACTCAATGTTGACCTGTAAAAGTCTTCAATTTGTGTGAGATTTGGGGCTAGATTGGACAATGTATATTGGAGTTACACCAACTTCCTGTTTCATGGTAAATTTATCAAAATAGCCTGCACACACCGGCACGGGTGTTCAATGTAATGAAAGATTTGTATAACTTTTTATCATCAAGGTGTTCAGACAGTGTTGACCGTAAGTAAAAGATAAAAAAGCTGTCGTGAATATAGTGTCTTGATCATAAGACATACGATTTATACAAGGATTGACATTTTGATAGATAGATTGCTGGCTGGTTAAAGGATTATAACATACAAATGTAAAGTAAACACAAACAATCTAAAAGAAAATGCTTTCAATCAAATGTATTTTATATGGCTCTAGTTTTAGAGATTCTACAGTTTGTTTTGTGTCCAGATATGACTGTATGTATAGATCTGAAGGAAAACAGGTTGGGTTTCTATTTTGAACTTGAAGGCCCCGAAAATGCCATGTAAAAGAAAGTTAAAGGAATATTAATAACTACAATTTCAATAGGGCCCTTGAAACGTTGTTGGGGCTCTGACCACGAATATCGACAAAAAGACTCAGACGTGTCTCTCGCTTAATATAAAGGCTTATCGGGCTAAAATGTGTTTGAGTTAACGATTTTCCAAAAACAAGCAAGAATTATGTTGTGCTTTACATATAGTCAACTGAGGAGCTTGGGAAAAATTCAGCTCTTGGCATCTCTTTAAACTGTGTTGCCCGATTAGTACTGTAGAATACATTTAATGTTTCAGTTTAGATACTTGATTTTTCTAAGCAGTAAAGCAAAGAATCACAGAGAGACTGTGAGCGTTTCCAGCTCACGATAGGGTTAAAAGATGACGGATGAAAGAACGGTTTGTCAAACAAGCAGAGTTTATTTAATGCTGAGGGTGAAAACACAAAAAAGGGGCTTCCATGAACCCCGGTCTGCTCCTCTATTTCCCGAGGTGGCTGGGAAAGTGACGGTCCTCCTCCCAGGACCCAGTCTACTGCAAGAGACCAGAACCAGGTTACCACATGCTTGTATTGAGTGACTGATTACCTGATTCTGATCAGCTGTCTCCGGCCGAGCCACTCCCATCACTCCAGCAGCCGGCACCCTAACCACACCCCGCTGCCACATAGGCTACCCCCACCGCCCGACTCAGGCCGGGATCCCGCCGGCTGAGAGCTGACTTCCCCCCCTCCGCCGAGCAAGAGAGGAAATCAGCCACAACCATCCGGTTACCCGTCCTGTGGATCACCTTGAAGTTAAAAGGCTGTAACACCAGATACCACCGAGTGATCCGGCGTTGGCATCCTTCATGCGGTGGAGCCACTGGAGCGGGGCATGGTCCGACCAGAGGGTAAAAGGGCGCCCCAGGAGGTAGTAACGCTGGTCAACCAGCCTGACCAGCTAAGTTGACCAGCCTGACCAGCCAGTAGATATTAGGCTGGAATGGTTGGCTGGTTTAGAGGGGTTTTGGACAGTTAAGCTGGCCAGGATGGCCGGTTTAGCTGGTGCACCAGGTAAACCAGCTAAACCGGCCACCAGCTAAACCAGCCATCCTGGCCAGCTAAAAAAAACAGCATAGACCAGCATAGTATGCTGGTCTATGCTGGGCTGGTCACCAGCATCCATCGGTCACCAGCTTATGTTTAATAATAGTATTAAATATACCATCCTGGAAGCTTACCAGGATTCCAGGTGACCAGCATACATTGTTTAAATACTGGTATGATTATTTAAACCAGAGAACATAAATATATTACAAAGATTCATTGTGTCATGTATTCTGGTATCTACCAAAAATAAAGACATTGTATAGTGTTCATAACAGTATTTTAATTTAATAAATAGCAGTAAATAGCTTGTTAACCAACCTGAAAATCAACCTCTACATCAAAAATAAATATATGATCCAAAACAGGTGCATTTGATTTAAAATAAAAGTAATAAATATAATTCAATATTTAAATGGTAACAAAAACAGTAACACTATGTATGATAAGAAAAAGGCAACAAAGAAAGTGTTCTTTGTTTTTCCTTGTTCATGTCCATAATGTTTCCTGTTGTGTAGCGTCCAGCCTTTCCCAATCTGGCCTGCATTTCTGTGTGTTGAAGCCACTTATTGAAGCAAACTGAAAAGAAATGTACAGATATAAGTACACTGTAAAAAGAAAACTTGACATTTACGTTAACATTTGGGCTGCTGTGGTTGCCAGAACTTGACCGTTAAAGTATTGTAAAATACATTACAAATTACAGTTGGTTGGCATAGACGTTACAGTCAACAATTGCTTATGGTGAATTACAATGGCAAAAACAAATAGAGCTAGTGTACACGGTGCAGCTGTATTATCTGGGAAATATAAGAATCGGATCAGGATTCGGTATTGGCAGACAATCAATATGAAATTAATCGGATCATTATTAGCATCAGCATTTGATCACCAAAACATTATTAATAACAGTAATGATGGTAACAACAATAATATTAGTATAACTATGTATATAGCACTTACACAATTGCAAAGTGATTCTCAGAACAAAAATAAAGAACAAAACAATATCAACAATAAAAAAACAAATGATTATAGGAATGTTAAGAGACAAAGAAATTATAAACATTCTAAGAGGCCGACTACAAAAGGTAGACTAGGCTCTTGATGACATCAATGAGCAGTCCCAATAGATGCTGTTGTATGAAAAGAAATAGAATAGGTCCAGATTTATTCTATTTTGTGTTGGATGATTTGTTTTATAGATTGCTGATGGATGTTAAGATGTGTTTTACAATTATAACAAAAATATTATTGTAATTGGAATCAAAAAGATTGCAAATCATAGTTTTAATAAAATCACTAGCAATATAGGGTTTATTCAACAGCAGTAAAGCATTCAGTTGCTAAATTAACGTACATTGAACTGTAAAACAACTTACCACTATTTAGGAATGGCTCTGATCAGAAGGGTTGACCAGTAGGACAGCGAAGAGGTGGAGGAGGTCTATGTCATGTACAACCATTGGTAGATGTTACACCTGAAAGAAAGATAAGGAAATAAGACAACACAGGAGGACAAACAATAACTTGCTTTTGGCATTGAAATGGATTAGAATCTCACCTTTTTCCTGGAGGTCAGCAAGGCCAGGAAGTCGTTCCCTTCAAGTCCGCAACCAGTCATAGGAGTTCAAATGCAAAGCCTGAACGATGACAAGAGCGGGAGACTTACATTTTACAATTATATTTTTAATTAATACCAGAGCAGTGTGTACATAGTCCCTGTACGACATGCAGAGAACAGATCAAATCCCCTGACAGACTCACACACTTTGGTGATGTCCTCATCTGATAATGTTTCATTTTATAGCAGCAAAGTAACATTACTCAAAGTATATGTCGGACCCAACTCATTTACAGTATGTTTTGCATCTCCTTAACAATGGTCTGTATCATTGAGTAGAAAAAAACTGTCCCTAAAATTTCAGGTAGATTAACACACATTTGAGAGAAAGGTTTACCATGAAGCACCCTCTTTGTATTAAGCGAGCTGCCACAGAAAGTACAGCTTAACATGCTAACCTTTGGTAGAGTGAGCTACAGTTAGCTAACTTCATGTTCAACACAAAACCTCTAACGTGCATTACATTGATGATTTTAAACAAATGTAACTCTCTCAACTTGTAAGATAACGTTAAAGTGGACCTATCATGCTATATTTGAATAATATAGTGTAGGACCATACCTATATAAGGCATATTTATACTTTTTTTTTTTCAAAATACCAAACAGATCATGCATTTTAGCCATGCCTCATTTTGCTCAATTTGACAATTTCTAGCTCTGGGCAGATTCAGTGAGAACAGCACCATCTACTGGCCTGGCATATGTACTACAGCGTCTCCAGTGCTTTCGAACGGCAATGGCCGTGGCTGTCTCCTCCTGATTGGTGGAGTTGGCCCAATAGCCGTAGCGCCACCGTCCTGACGTCAGGACAGTGTTCAAATCTGGATCAGTTTTGATCAGATCCGTTGCAGCCCCTTTTTTAGAGATTTGGGTATGGAGGAAAATAGAGAGGGTTGTGTTTTCTGACACTTGGTGAGTTCCCTGGAACACCGGGGACACATATTCATGTATAAAAGACGTACAAAAGTGCATTTTGCATGATAGGTCCCCTTTAAGTTAACTTACCCTTAAATAACTACATCACGTTTTTCAGGGGAAACACAAACTGCAGAAAACGTTAGCTGCTAACTTCTAAGACAGCCAGCTCTTGTTAAGGGAAGTAACAATAGCCTCCTAGCAAACTTAAAGGTCCGATGTCATGGCCATTTCTACTGATCATAATTCCATTGTTGAGGTATACTAAAATAGATTTATATTGTGCAATTTTCCAAACTCACATTGGTTTCTCATACAGCATCTCTGTATAGTATGTATTCACAACACACTCTCACTCCCGTGGCGTCCAGTTGTGACGCACCGAGGCTCCTTCAGCTTCATAAACGGACGCAAAGAGCTTTCAACTGATTGGAATGTATTCCCATCGGCGTTGGTATTTGACGCCTAGGGAAGCACGGCATTCGTTTGTGTCGGAGGCTGTGTCAGGCAATGTGAGCGTCCATTTCCATTGGATAACGGAGAATTGTACACCCGGAAGTAAGTATTCCCCTTACTGTCGATTGATATCTCCACTACTCATCAACTCAAAAACACCAGATTATCCTTGTTAATTAAACGACATTGATAGGTTTTAGTGTGTGTACAATGCTTTTGTCACGTTTTCCCCTTCAATTATGAGAAACAAGTCGTTTTCTATGAGTTTTGGATGGCCGAAGACATTACATTATCCACAATCCTCTGTAGCAACCATAGACTATATACACAAATTAAATAATATATTATTCCGAGTGTGCTTGCTTTTCTCTTCAAAAACACCAGATTATCCTTGTTAATTAAACGACATTGATAGGTTTTAGTGTGTGTACAATGCTTTTGTCACGTTTTCCCCTTCAATTCTGAGAAACAAGTTGTTTTCTATGAGTTTTGGATGGCCGAAGACATTACATTACCCACAATCCTCTGTAGCAACCATAGACTGTATAAAACAATTAAATAATACATTTTCCGAGTGTGCTTGCTTTTCTCTTTGAAAGTCATCACATAACGGCATTGTAATACACGTTTCGGCTGCATTAAATATGACATATCTGCCGTAGTTAACTCTATGTATAGAGCCCTGATGACAAGACTTCTAGACAAACAGGAACTGCCGCCAAAACTGAAAACTTGACGTGGATCTTAAATATATAAGCAATTAAACAACATCTTACATTTCTTTTCACACAATACGTCTCCTTGCAGTATCAACACTAATTCGGCTGACTTTTATATTTGATCTAATTGGTAGATAGGCTGTATTTATGCCATAACGGTGCACAGCTGATAGAAAGGGACACCTATTGGTTAAAGCATGTTATTTCATTTTATAATTTTATTATTAGATATTAATAGGATCCCTATAAAGAAAATTCTTTACTCGTCGTTATTCTCTACTAATAGTTAATTAAAGACTGTATATAATGACTATTTTGCACATCTCATTCAAGATTTCAAGATTTTCTAAGGTTTATTGACATTAAAGACTGTATATAATGACTATTTTGCACATCCCTTTCAAGATTTCAATATTTTCTGAGGTTTATTGACATTAAAGACTGTATATAATGACTATTTTGCACATCCCTTTCAAGATTTCAATATTTTCTGAGGTTTATTGACATTAAAGACTGTATATAATGACTATTTTGCACATCCCTTTCAAGATTTCAAGATTTTCTAAGGTTTATTGACATATCATATTATACACAACTACGGTGTAGTTATGCAATGAATGAAAAACTTGGGTCGCAGGTTCCTCAACAGTGCATTACAAGACATCTATCAATATGTGTGTACCTCCACCATTACATTGTCATATTCTGCACATTTCTTATACTATCTACATACATCTTATAAGAGTATAATACATATGTATAATATCAGTTAAAATAAGTGCTTAAACATAGTTAACATTGCAGGAAAGCAATATATTAGACGTTAAGTACTTTGTCAGGCTTAATATTTATCTGTAGATACACATTTCACTGTGTGTGCTGTGTGCTCTGCATGTGTGACCACATGGCATGTGTTTCATCCCTCCATATTCATCTTCTATACCCCCAAAGCTTTTTTCTTATTCAAAAGAAGACCTTAACCTAAAGTATTCTTTAATGTTTAAATAAAGCCTTATTAGTTTGTCTGTTTATTAACATTAACATTAATTAATAATAAAATAATAAAATGCAATAACGTGCTTTAACCAGTAGGTGTCCCTTTCTATCAGCTGTGCACCGTTATGGCGTAAATACAGCCTATCTACCAATTGGATCAAATATAAAAGTCAGCCGAATTAGTGTTGATACTGCAAGGAGACGTATTGTGTGAAATGAAATGTAAGATGTTGTTTAATTGCTTATTTAAGATCCACGTCAAGTTTTCAGTTTTGGCGGCAGTTCCTGTTTGTCTAGAAGTCTTGTCATCAGGGCTCTATACATAGAGTTAACTACGGCAGATATGTCATATTTAATGCAGCCGAAACGTGTATTACAATGCCGTTATGTGATGACTTTCAAAGAGAAAAGCAAGCACACTCGGAATAATGTATTATTTAATTGTTTTATACAGTCTATGGTTGCTACAGAGGATTGTGGGTAATGTAATGTCTTCGGCGATCCAAAACTCATAGAAAACGATTTGTTTCTCAGAATTGAAGGGGAAAACGTGACAAAAGTATTGCACACACACTAAAACCTATCAATGACGTTTAATTAACAAGGATAATCTGGTGTTTTTGAGTTGATGAGTAGTGGAGATATCAATCGACAGTAAGGGGAATACTTACTTCCGGGTGTACAATTCTCCGTTATCCAATGGGAATGGACGCTCACATTGCCTTTAACAGCCTCCGACACAAACGAATGCCGTGCTTCCCTTAGCGTCAAATACCGACGCCGATGGGAATACATTGCAATCAGTTGAAAGCTCTTTGCGTCCGTTTATGAAGCTGAAGGAGCCTCGGCGCGTCACAACTGGACGCCACGGGACCCTGACCAAGCGTCGCTCCTGGACGCTTATGGAGTGAGAGTGTGTTGGTATTCACTCTCTGTCCTAAACGGCTTGTTGGAGCCCCTGCCCCCCCCCCCTCCCTATGAGCCCAGTGTGCTCTGATTGGTTAGCTCGCCCACTCTGTTCTGATGAGTCCACCACCGTTACAGCGGAACATCAGTGATTATGTGTGACAATGGCGTTAGCAACCAGAAAATGACACCAGCAATGACAAACAGATGAGAATGCTGCGTGGGGTCTGGGTGCCGTGTTGGCGGGACGTTGCGGGGCTCGCTGCTGGAGCGGACAGTGTGAGCTGGCTTGCTGCGGGGGATCTGCGAGACAGCGAGACACAGCTAAACCCAGCCTGAACCCAGCCCGAGCACACACACACACCTGCAGCCTAGCTGTGAGTCTGCGTGTGTGCTCATAACGATTCGCAGGTCTCCCTTGAAAAAGAGATCGTTGATCTCAATGGGATTTTTTAACCTGGTTAAATAAAGGCTACAAAACAAAACAAAACAAACGAGCCCAGGCCGAGAGCCCAGGCCGAGAGCCCAGGCCGAGAGCCCAGAGCCCAGGCCGAGAGCCCAGGCCGAGAGCCCACAGCCCAGGCCGAGAGCCCAGGCCGAGAGCCCAGAGCCCAGGCCGAGAGCCCAGGCCGAGCCGAGCCCAGGACGAGCCCCGCCGCGTCTTGCCGTCTCAGGCTGAGTTCAGGCGGAGAAATCCGCGGAGCTGCAGCTGAGAAAAGATTGAGTGTGTGTGTGTGAGGAAGTCCATTTGGACCAATCCGCAGAGACGTTACGTCACTATACCCAATACGTCACTGTACTTACTACACTATAAGAAGAAAACAATGGAAAAAGAAAAATCTCCAACGAGGCGTTCTGGGGCAGCATAGACAGGTATTTTCTGTGTTAGAGTTTTACTCGCTACAGGGTGCACATTGAGGGTTTGTGACTCTGCAGACTGTTTACATGCATAAAAAGCTACATAACACACAAGGGGACGGTTAATAACCGGAAAAGCATGACATGGGGCCTTTAATGTTAAGTTAACATTAACGTAACGTTGTAAGAAAGCAAAACGAACCTTCGAGAAAGCTTTTACT